TGAAGTCTAATTTCCCAGCACTTTTTATTAAAGAGGCTCAATTTTCTGTGCTATGTGTTCTGGGGACTTTGTCAGGAATCAGTTGGGTATAGATCACGGAATTTATTTTTCAGATCTCTATTCTTTTTCATTGGTCTATGTGTCTATTTTAATGCTAATACAAGGCTGTTTTGATTATTGTGGCTCTGTGGGTATATTTTGAAGCCAGGAACTATGATACCTACAAATTTTCTTTTTTGTTTGTGATTGTTTGTGTTCCTTCTAGAGTATTTTTTTCTGGTCTCATAAAGAATATCATTGGTATTTTGATGAGGATTTATTTAAATTTATAGATCTGTTTGGGTAGTATGGACTTTTCAATACTATTCATTTCTCGTCATGAACATAGAAGGTCTTTCCATTTTATGTATTAAGTAGTCATTTATTTGTTTGTTTTGTATTCAGTTATTTCTGGAGACTCTGAAAATTATGTTTAAAACTAGTTCATAACTTAAGGGTAAGAATACATATTTAATATTTATTTGGTAGTTTAAGAAATCTATCAGACCTTACAAAAAGTAGATTTGTCTTGTAATATGTCCTACTCAATCCAAGGGGTCTCAGTCTTTCAGGAAAGGTTAATAACAGTTAATACCTGGATTCAACCAGTGTTGCTGATGCTGATGCAGGAAGAAAGAATTGCAGTAAACTTCCCATCTCATCCACATCCTCCTAGTCAGTGGAAGGCTTTAGCCTTTCTTTATGTTCTTGCTAACTGGGAATGTTCCTGCCTTTTCCACATTCAAGCCACTCTCATCTCCCCCTTCATGTTCTTACACTGAAGTCGGAGTGTTACTGTGACATCTGGAATAGAGCAGATCAAAGAATTTAAAGTGCTCAGAGCATCAACTTGAGGATCTGGAGCCCTGATTTCTATTCTATAATCTCACATGACCTCACTCTCTAATCTTTGGCAATTAAGCTTGCTTTGGCTCACTTTCCTCATTTTTCAAGCATGAAGATTGTTCTAAATGAGGTCAGCAATTGCTTGCAGACCTAAACTTGAGTTCCCCAAGTAAGCATAGGGTCAGTAGGCACAAAGGTCTAAATGAGGTCAGCAATTGCTTGCAGACCTAAACTGGAGTTCCCAAAGTGAGCAAAGGGTCAGCAGGGCACAATTACCTTTTGCTGCTTTGAGTCCTATTTGGTCAGCTCTAAAATTATAGATGATTCATTTGCACTGTCACACTTGCATAATAGACATGAAATCCGGTTATTTTCTGATTACCTGAGTCTTCTCTGCAGTTTGAACTTAAAAGACTCTTTATACCGCATAGCATTTTGTACTGATAATGATTTATTTTTCTAAGAAACTTTGGCCCTCTCATGTTTTCAGAAGTCAACGATTCCCTGATTTGTCCTAACTCTCTTTAAACTAATTTCTTACTTTGTTGTAAAGTATTATTATGGCTAAGGAAGATTCAGTGGAGGCTGTGAGATGAATAACATTCCTAAAATTCTTCAGGAAAGAAAAAAGGGAAACAAACAGGGATAGAAGCAATTGATTCTAAAACAATATTCAAGAATATATCTGTGCTTCAACAATACTGTGAAATTTGTCACTGCTTCTACAATGTGAGTTTGTCATTCTCTCCCTTTCCAATTTCTCCAACCTATGCAAAGCTTTTCAATGTAATGTTCCTTTTTTTTTTTTTTTCAGTTTTTTTTTGAGACAGGGTCTCCCTGTAGCCCCAGCTGTCCTGGAACTCACTATGTAGACCAGGCTGGCCTTGAACTCACAGAGATCCGCCTGCCTCTGCCTCCCGAGTGCTGGGATTAAAGGAAATGTTACTTTTTAAAGAAAGCAATGCTAATAAAATGCTTTTAAAAGAATATTTGTGGCCACTCACAAGTGTACACATAGAGATGTTATTGCTTTCCCTCTAATTCAGATTGGTCTAAGAAACGTTAGCTTCATTCTGAACAAAGTAAAAGTGTGTAAGTGTATTAGGAACATACCATGAAGCATATTCAATTTCATTCATACCACAGACATTCTTAACATTCTTAACACAAGTTGAGCCCCACTTGCCTCCTGTGTGTAGTGCCCCAATTCTCCACTAACAGGATGCCCAGTATCCATGATGACACCACCCTACTATATATCCTATTCTGAACATTACAGAGGGATCTTTCGTTTAGGTCAGACAGAAGTAAGACTGCTAACTCCTTTTGTGTATCATATTAGAGTATGCACACGCATTTGTGTTGTTTTATTTACAATGGAATTCTCAATGAAATCAATTCATATCATTATTTTTGTAAATATATAAATAAAACATATGGATGTGTTTTTAACATGATCATTTTATAATCATCATTCTTCTAAATTACTAATTGACTCAGAAGCAAAGCTTAACTGTCAGTTGAACTTGCCTGACTTTCAACTAGCAATTATCTGCTAATCTTGCCATCCTGAGAGTTTAAGAAATTGGCATCATACTGTGGCTTTGATACAGAATAAAAGTGTCACAGAAAAAGTATTTAATAGAGCATCTTCAAAAGTTTATTTTTTCTCTCTTTCCTGGCAATGAGATATTACAAAGATTTATGAAGTAAAGTCTTGCTGTTTCTCTCACTGTTTTCCCCCCTGAGATTTCTAGTGCTGAGAGAGATGTTATAGGCCGGATTCAGAATAAAAATCACCAACACCACTTAATTGAAAGTAGCAAGGTAAAACTTTTATTTATGGCTGACTGGGCTATGTCGGGAATAGAAGCAGAGTCGAACACCAGTTGGCCAGAATATTTATGGGAATACAGAATGCAGAACAGGTGGGGCAATCAGGTTTATGAAACACAGCAAAATTTGAACATAACAAACTTCGAATTTACCAATCAACCATCAGTTATTGCACAGGCTTGGGTAAGTGAAGCAGGTTTACAGAAGCAAGATAAGCGGTTAGTCAATTGCTGGCCTGGACTAGATTATAATACCCTGCGGCATGCGGTCAGACCCTTTCTTGGAATTCAAAGTTCCTTCTCCCTTCTAGGTATCTTTCATAAGTAGGGTAAAGGTACTTCTGAAATGGCTGCTTTGGGCAAAATGGAGTAACAGGTTAGTTTAGCTGAGATAGTTCATTCCCCACTCCTTTTGGTAGTAATGTCAATTCTTTGACAGGACCAGTAGAGTTATACCTTGCCTTCAGCATCCTCTAAGGCCATTAACTGGTCATATTGGGTGCGTAAAACCATAAGTTTTACGGATTGTATTCTTTGATTTACAAAGTTTCCTAAGGCATTAAGAAGGCATGGTCCACAGGTAAGGACAAGTATGATTAATATTAGTGGTCCTGCAATAGCACTCAACAGTGTAGTCAACCGGGACCAGGAGAACAGGGCTTCATACTAATTTTGGCTACTAGTCGTGCCCTTTCCCTCTCTAGGAGCCTCCGTTTGACTAAGCCTAGGCTTTCTCTAATGACTCCAGTGCAATTGGCATAGAAACAGCACTGCTCACCTAAAGCCATGCAGAGCCCTCCTTGCCGCATAAGGAGCAGATCTAACTTTCTCCTGTTTTGGAGGACTACTTCTGCTAAGGAATCAAAAGATGTTGCCAGGTGTTCCATGGATTTCTCTAACTCAGCCAGGTCTTGATCAATCTGTTTACTCAGAAGTTTGACATTCTGATCCTGAGTGATAAAGGCGGCTGTTCCTATCCCAACAGATCCTGCGATGCCCACCCCAGCCAAGAGGGGTTCTAAGATGGTACTTATCCCTAGATCTTAAGACTGTCACGCTCTAGACAAAAGGTCAAAATGTTCCCTGCCCTCTTCCCCTGAGTAATAGTAAACCTGAGGGAGGAGGTGCACAAGGACACAGAGCTCGTTAGGCGGAGCTCTGTAACTCCATACAGGGAGTTAGTCCAGAGGTACAGGCAAACCAAGTTCCTTCTGGTGGAACTAAATAATATGGTCCCCCTGGGATTGGAGTAAGGAGATTAGACTGATTACATATCTTTTTATAAGGAGACAATGACATATTATAGTAGGGACCATAGAAGCAAGTTCCTCTACCTGACAGGCTACCGAGGGTGAGTATAGGTTTAGAACCCCAGGGGCATAGATCTCTTTTGATCACATCCTTAGATGTGAGATTTTGGTTATGGGAGGGGTTTGTTCCCATAGTTTTAATAGTCCCTAATCCTATATAATAAGGGGGCAAGGATCCAGGCAAAGCCAGCAGTCTTTAGTGAGGTCTGGATAAGTAACATTGAAAAATGTATAGGTATAGAGGAGAGGATTATACAATTTAGGAGGGTCCCATCTGGAAACATCTTTGGAGATGGCATAATCAGTGGGAGACGGTTTTGGTAGTAAGGGAGGACTGAGGACCTTGTTAGGACCAATGGGTACTGGGGGATTGATGGGACTCCAAATTTTTGAATAGCAAATTCTGATCCCGGGTGCTTTCCTGGGGTGAGAATCTGTATTCCCCATGTTTTTCCCATAAGCCAATTTCTATCATCCCCATTCAGCACTTGTAAAGCCAGGGGATTAAGATTCCCTTGAGTATTTTTAGCAGTATCACATTGTAGGGAAATCCATCTGTCCTTTGATTTGACCCAGGGGGCAAAGGTCTCACAACCCCAGGAGGCACAATACCATTCATTTTTAATGTTACATTCTGGACACCCATTTGCTGGGGATCCATAAACCTTAAAGCCCTGTAAACCCCTTCCAAAAGAAGCAGATCCGCAACCCCAGGATCTAACAGAAGAGGCTTGGTAATAAGTGTACATAGATTGTAAGATTTCAAGCTTGAACAAATCACAAACATCAAACTGGAAAGCGGGAGTGTAGCTGACTAAGGTATTGGTAGCTAAGATTTTTCCATCTGAGGTCCTTTTAACTACCCATTTATATGCAACCAATATATGGGGGTTCTGACTCTCATTTCCCTTTATAGTTTTCAATACCCAGAAGATAAACATTAACATTAAGGCTTTCTTATTAATTTTACTTTGAGCAGATGGTCTGTTCTTTTTGCCGTCCATGTCTGAGGAATGTGGTCTGAGTGAGCTTGCTTGACTTGAGAGTGGTGAATCCAGTGGGCTCGTCTGGCAACCTTAACAGCAGTTGGAATGAGCAAGATGACAGGATAAGGTCCGGTCCACCATGGTTCCAGGTTTGGCATCTGGTGCCTGCGAACCCAGATCCAATCCCCAGGTTCCAAGTCCAAATGGTCCAGGGCTATGGGTGGGCTGTCAGATTTATGGGTTTCTCGTACCAGTCCCTGAACTTGGTCTAAGACAGCTTGGAGTGCCTGAAGGACTCTAAGAGAGCTTGGTTAGACAGTTCTGCCAGATGTTCATCCCCTAAGCGAGGGATTAGGGGCAGCAGATGGCCAAACAAGATTTCAAAAGGAGTAATTCCTTTTACATAGGGTGTGCATCGTGCTCTAAGTAGAGCAAAAGGAAGAAAATTTACCCAGTTACCATCAGTCTCTGTTATTAACTTGGTTAAAGTTTCTTTGAGTGTTCTATTCATCCTTTCTACCTGTCCTGGGCTTTGAGGATGATACACACAATGTAGTCTCCAGTATATCTGGAGGGCAGAAGCTAAAGATTTAGAAGCATGGGCTATGAAAACCGGGCCATTGTCAGACCCCAGACCAATAGGGATGCCAAATCAAGGCATAATTTCATTTAGTAGCTTTTTAGCTACTACCTGGGCAGCCTCGGACCTGGTTGGGAACACCTCAACCCATCCTAAAAAAGTGTCCACTAGGACAAGCATATACTTATAACCATAAATCCCCTCGGTCATTTCAGTGAAGTCCAATTCCCAAATTTCTCCAAGTGCTTGGCTTCGGAGTCTGTGCCCTGGAAGAGAATGCTTGGGAGCCAGGTTAGTTTAAGCACAACTAACAAATGTGTTAGTTGACACATTTGTCCTAAATTGGGAATATATAAGTCTCTCTTTGTTAACTCTGTCATTTTGGTAGCTCCCATGTGAGTTGTAGAATGTAGCTGTTGTAGCTAGTATCTTCCTAACACCTTTGCAAGGATGGGCCTTCCATTAGATACCATCCTTTCTTTACCATATCTTTCATTAGATACCATCCTTTACTATCCTTTATTCCTTTTAAATCCTTGATGGTAACAAGGTCAGAAGTTGAGTAGGAGGGGGATTGAGGCAGCACTCTAGCTGGAAAAGCAGTCAAAATCTTTAATACACGCACATGCTGTAAGACCACTTCTTTAGCTGTTCGATCAGCAAAGTCATTACCATGGGCTATCACTCAATCTGATTTCTGGTGTCCTTTACAATGTATAATGGCTGGTTGTTTTGGGAGCCATAATGCTTCTAAAAGGGCAAGAATCTCCTCCTTATTTTTTATTTCTTTTCCGTTAGACGTTAACAGTCCTCTCTCTTTATATAGAGCCCCATGTATATGCGCTGTGACAAAGGCATAGTGGCTGTCTGTATAGATATTTACAGTTTTTCCTTTTGCCCATCCAAGTGCTTGAGTTAGGGCAATTAGTTTGGCCTTTTGTGCTGATGTAGCATGCCCTAAGGCTTGGGCCCATAGAATGTCAGTCAAAGTAACTATTGCCATCCCCACATATTGAATTACTGCCATCAGTAAACAGTTGAGCATCCACCTTAGTCAAGGGTTGATCTCTCAAATCCTCCTGTACCCAAGTTAGGGTACTCACCGCCTCGAGATAGTCATCAGGGGGGTCCAGTAGTCTTGTCTGGAAAGACATGACTAGATTCAGAGTCTCTGACTTAAGGAAGGTTATCCTTGGAGGGTCCAACAGCAATACTTGATATTGTGCAATGCAGCGCTTTGGAAATCCAACTGTCAAGAGGAGCACACAGCAGGACCTCTACAGCATGTGGGCCAATAATTTGCAAGTCTTGGCCCAGAGTAAGCTTGGAGGCTTCTTTGACCAGGAGAGCAGTGGTTGCTATCACCCTTAAACAGTTGGGACATCCAGAAGCTACTGAGTCTAGCTGTTTGGACAAATAAGCCACCAGTCTTCTCCATGGCCCCAGTGTCTGAGTCAAAACTCCTTTGGCTATGCCTTTACTTTCATGTACAGAAAGCAGGAAGGGCTTAGTGACATCAGGCAGAGCCAAGGCAGGGGCTTGAGTCAAGGCCTTTTTAAGTTGCTAAAATGCTTGATCTTCAAATGAGCCCCAGGTAAACTCTGTTCCTTCCTTGGCCATAGAGGCATACAGGAGCTTAGCTGTTTCTGCAAAGCCTGGAATCCAAAGTCTGCAATATCCTGCCACTCCCAAAAATTCTCGAACTTGTCTCCTATTTTTGGGCATGGGTATGTCAAGAATGGCCTGGATTCAATCTGGGCCTAATGACCTCTTTCCTTTGTGAATCCAATATCCCAAATAGGTGACAGAAGGGAGACATACCTGTGCCTTCTTTGCAGAGGCTTTGTACCCCAGAAGGTCCAATTCCTTTAACAAAGCCTCAAAGGCCAGCTTACAGTCCTCTGGGTTATCTGCTGCTAAGAGTAGATCATCAACATATTGTAAAAGAGTTACCTCTGGGTGAGCGTCTTAATAGCAGGTGAGGTCCCATCGCAAAGCTTCATCAAACGATATAGGGGAGTTTCTGAATCCTTGAGGGAGTCGTGTCCAAGTAAGCCACCTGGTGAAAGACCCATCAGGACCAGTCCACTCAAAGGCAAAAATAGGCTGACTTACTGCTGCAATTGGTATGCTGAGGAAGGCATCCTTCAAATCAAACACTGAACAGATTTGTTTCTCAGGCCCCAACTCACTGAGGAGAGTATAGGGGCCAGGTACAGTAGGATGAATAACCTCAACCCACTTGTTAACCTCCCTCAGATCCTGGACAGGCCTGAATTCATTAGTCCTGGGTTTTGGCACTGGTGAGAGTGGAATGTTTCAGGGAGAATGGCAAGGGCCAAGAATCCCCACTTCCCAGAGTCTGTTGATATGCTTAGCAAGGCTTGAAGGCTGATGGGATATTGCCTTATTCTGATTGGGGCAGCTGTGCTAAGCAATTGAATGACAAGGGGTGGCTGATTTTTAGCCAGTCCTGGGGGGTTAGTTTCTGCCCATACATAGGATATCTTAATTTTCCAATTTTCTAACACAGCAGATGAGCCCTTTGGTAGCTACTCCTTATGGGGCCTTTGTTGCAGGAGATATTCCTCCAATACAGGGCATGTGACAAGGACGCTGGGAGGCTGGAGGGTTAATCCCACTGAGTAAAAGTATTTAAGCTTTGAGCTTGTGTAGGAGCTTTCTTCCTAACAAGGGATAGGGGTGGGCTGGTATCAAAAGGAAGGAATGAGTCACAGTTCCCTTTAGGTAGGTTATTCGAGCTCAGGTTTGAGAGTAAGATTGGTATTTTCCAGTAGCTCCTTGAATTCTCAGTTTTTTGTCTTCAGAGGTGCCTAAAGGCTCCTTTAATACTGAAAAGGCAGCCCTAGTGTCTACCATGAATCTGATAGGCTTCCCTTCTGCTTGTAGAGTGACCCTTGGTTCCTGGGGATTAAGGGAAAAACCAAGGTCATGTCAGGCCTTCCTAATAGCCAGAGCTGCCTCTTTTCCTTTGCGGTGCAGGCGTTCGCTCTTCCAGTGGCCTTCCTCCTTGCAGTATGCATTGATTTCTCTTGAGTTTGGGTCTGCCTGACCCATCCTTGTAGGGCTTACAAGGGTCCCTCCTGCCTCTCTGAGGCTGCCTAATGTCCCTTCCGAAAGACTCTACCAACACCTTTCCTATTTCTTTTCCTTGCTCTTGAGCAAAGGAGTCTCAGTTAATACAGACTCTCTGGGCTATCTCCACTAACACAGATACTAATTTTTCTTCAAACCCTTCAAGCTTTTGTAGCTTTCTACTAATGTCTGGGACCAATTGAGAGACGAAGGCAATATTTAAGGTCTTTTGATTCTCAGGTGCCTCAGGATCAATAGGAGTATAGAGATGATAGGCTTGATAAAGCCTCTCAAGGAAAGCAGCCGGGGACTCACCTGACTCCTGGATCATTTGGCTGACCTTCGATAGGTTGGTGGGCTTCCGGGTGGTTGCTCTCATTCCCTCCAACAGAGTCTTACAGTACCTGGCAAGGTGATCCCACCCTTCAGCGGTGTTGGGGTTCCAGTGTGGTCAAGCTGAGGGAAAGACTGCCTCGACAACCATCGGGTCCTGTGATTGGAGGCCATCCATCCCCAGGACAGAACAGCTAGCTTCTCGCAAGATCCTAGTACACTCTTCAGAGGTGAAGAGTACCTGCAAGAGCTGATGACAGTCGTCCCAGGTGAGACAATGGGTTATAAAAATGGAACTAAGTAAGTCAGTAAGTTTGGAGGGATCCTCTGAAAAGGGAGGATTCTGAGACTTTCAGTTATAAAGATCTGTAGTAGAGAAAGGAGCATAAACAAACATGGATTGTCCTCTTCATCATGTTGTCCACGTGTTGGGGTGACTTCTCACAGGGTCAAGAGAGCTGGGGAAACCGAAGAGGTGAGGGCTCACAATTGAAGATGGCAATCACCGTATCTAGCCCCTGTTGGAGTATGTGAGGGACTCTGTGTATCACCATCTGAAGGGGTTTAGCCCCAACATTATTATCTATCCCACTACCTGTGGAGGGGGTTGTGGGGTCTGAGAATATAAGGAGGGGGTTCTAGGGGTCCTCAGACTCCTGAAGAACAGGATAATACAGATTTCTATGTTTAGAAATAGGAAGGAGGGCAGGGAGTTCTGAGGGAAAGGGTGGAGGTGTCTTCTTCACCTGAGGAACCTGTAAACGTTGTTTAAGCCAATTTGGGGGGTCTTAAATAAATCAACCCAAGCAACTATGTAAGGGATTTGATCAAGATGGAGTTGGTTACAGATCCTGTGAACAGAAATTGCAGGGGTTAAATCATAGGTTCCCTCAGGGGGGCCAATTAGTTTTATTAAAAGTGGGCCATTCTAATTCACATAGGGTCCGGAGCTTAGAAGCTTTAACTCGAAAGCCATATCCTCCTGCTCTCTTCCTAAAATCAGAGAAATTATTCATCATGCACTTCAATGGGGTAGCACTCTTAGACTCATTCTGACCCATGACAAAAATAGACACCAATCCAAAACACAGAATAAGACACGCACAGACAAATAACACTAACCAGGGTGCCACTAAGTCCAAGTTCCAGAAAAGTGACTGGGCTTTAGACTTAGTTGCCAGGCAGGTCCACAGGAGCATCCTCTCTGGGACCCGACTAGGGGGAATTATGCCACATCCAGCTTCCCACCCAGTGTGTCTGATCAGAATCCAGAACCAGATGACGACAGGTCATTGGCTAGGCAAAAACCAAAAGAGAAGCCAAAAATGGAAGTGGTTTCTTGAGCACGCTCTTACCTTGCTAGTGGTGTGGAGGGAGAAATCAGAGAGCTGGCTGGGGAAACAGGAGCAGCCAGGACTAATTCAGGTCCCTTCTCAGGGAGTTCATGGATGCTGCCAGTCAGCCAAGGCTGATGCTGGTCCCTTCCCTGAGAGTCCTCAGGATACTGCTGGGTAGCCAGGTCCCTTCTCAGGGAGTTTCCTGAAACTGCTGGGCCCAGAAGCCCTCTGAATCTCGATGGGACCTCCAAATGTTATAGGCCAATTCCAAATAAAAATCACCAACACCATTTAATTGAAAGTAGCAAGGTAAAACTTTTATTTATGGCCTACCAGGCTGTCTATGTTGGGAATAGAAGCAGTGTCAAATACCAGTCGGCCAGAATATTTATGGGAATACAGAAAGCAGAACAGGTGGGCCAATCAGGTTTATGAAACACAGCAAAACTTGAACATAACAAACTTTGAATTTATCAATCAACCATCAGTTATTGCATGAACTTGGGTAAGTGAAGCAGGTTTACAGAAGCAAGATAAGAGGTTAGTCAATTACAGGCCTGGCCTAGATTACAATACCCTGTGGCATGTGGTCAGACCCTATCTCGGAATTCAAAGTTCCTTCTCCCTTCTAGATATCTTTCATAAGTAGGGTAAAGGTACTTCTGAAATGGCTGCTTTGGGCAAAATGGAGTAACTTAGGTTAGTTTAGCTGAGATAGTTCAAGAGAGCGTGATACCATTGCACAGCCTTTGCATTGCTCATAAACGATATATACTAGCACATCACACACACACACACACACACACACACACACACACACACACGTTCTTATTTCTTAACAGTTCTCTGTACTTTTGTAGCAGCACCAGACAGTAGAAAGGTCATTCAGGAAAGCATTACAATTCTTAGGAAAATGAAGTGGTGAGAAGATTGAGAAGCTGGGAAGATCAGAAAAAGAGGCTGAATTGAAAGAGTGACAAAATATGGGAGGCAAGAGAATGAAAGTGCTGGGACCTGGCAGGATCCTGCCAGTAACAGTTCCAACAAGAACAACAGAAGATCAGCAAAGTCGATGAGAACATATGAGCAGCTTTGTCTGTGTTCATAGAAGCAACTAGAATAATTATTATTAAACCAATAAAAGTAATTAAAACAAACATCTGAAAGCTAGGGGGACCATTTAAGTTCCATTAAGTTCATAAATTATGAGTTTATATACATCTAATCATGCAGTTGACTTGACATAACTTGACAACTCATTATATTGTGGAGGTGGAAAGCTTTTGCAATGTGATGGTAATTAAGAACTTTGCAACAGGAAAACTCTTAAGAGACAGGTATGGGGGAGGTGAGCAGGAGCCTCCCATCCTGTCCCTGTGGTCACCCAGGATGGAAGTCTTTGTTTTCCAAAGTTTTCGCATTCCTGTAACCTTTGGCCATATGTTACCTTGCTTAATTATTTGTCACCTAGGTGCTGTTTTGCCTTTTGTTTGCATTTCCCCACACATGAGTATAAAAGCCCCCAAAACACGAACACAAGGTCTGACTCCTTTATTCATGGTGTCAGTCCCGCTAGAGGAAAATTGAACTTCTCCTCACCTGACTTCGGATGTTACTGTCTGATTATTTCCAAAACATTTTGATATTCATTTAGTGAAGTAAGATTTATATGATGTAACCAGATCACTAAAAGGATAGGACTACTTAAATCAAATGACAAGCAGAGGGCTCAGAATGAAATAGGCTTAATTTCACTTTTCCACTCTGAGTTAAAATATCAATGTTAATCAAATGAGGCAAGAATATAATCTTACTTATATAACCTTACTTATGATTTTTTTCTCTTTTTTTTCCACAAACCACATAGAACTAATTGATTTTTATAGGAACAAATCACTTTATATTAATTTTTCTAGAAATTTTATTAAAAAGTTGTTTCCATCCAACTTGGATGCAAACACCGTATGTCTGCTTACAAAATGCAAAGAGATATTTTGACTAAACAAACATTGTTACACTTGGATCCATGCTTATTCATTTAGGCAACTGGAATTTAAATTTAATGTGAAACTTTACTGCTTTTCATATTGAATCATTTTCAGGAGCTTTGTGATTAATGGTACTGTGCCTCGATAATCAGGAGTAAGGCTATTTCTAGAATATATTATATTTCTATGAAAATTCAGAAAAAGCATCTGTTCTATAAAGTACATTATGATTCATATGTGCATAACAAGTTTTTATGCAGATTAATATTTTCTATGAAATGTTGACCTCAATATTAGAAATGCTGCTGAAACAATCTGTAAACATGCAGGTCCTCAATATGTTCCCTGTGTTGCTCAAACTTCTCCAGAGAAACAGACCTTATAAGGTGTGTATGCATCTGTGTGTAACTTGAATATGGAGTCCACAAATTGTTCCTTCTCTACAGCACTTTGGTATTTATCCACACTTAATTTCAAATGAAGATTAAGTATATATGATTATATGGAGAGAGATAGGGAAGCATACAAACGGGGGGGGGGCGCTTCTGAGTTTGTGGGAATCGGTGCCTGAGACAATATCTCATAGAGATCTGATTCTGTAATGCCTGCTCTGCTCTGACGTTTAGTAACAGAATTCTATCTTCTTAACAAAATCTTTAAATTATTTTTTCTTAGGCCTTTAACAGATCAGATGAAGTTTGTCCATATCATAAGTACAATGTGATTTATTTAAGTCTACTGATTTAAATGTTAATCACATTCCAAAAATATATTTAGAAGCTGGGAATGCTGGCACATGCCTTTAATCTCAGCACTTGGTGGAGGTGGGCAGTTCCCTGAGAACAAGGCTAACCTGGTCTACGTGGCAAATTCCAGGTAAGCTGGGGCTATAGTGAGCTCTTGTCTCAAAAATTTTTTATTATATTTTTATTGAGTTTTTGTGGATTTCACACAATGTATCTTAATCATATTTATCCCTCTTTTCATGTCTGCACCCTCATATCCTGCCCACGGGACTTCTTGCATTATGTCATGTATGTTAAGATCTATGAAGCCAAGTTTGTATACCCAGAAGTCCTGCAGTGTGAGTTCATCCATGGAGCTTCTTCATCCTGTCTAGAGTCAGTCCCTTAAAGATCAGTTCCGTCTCACATTGTTTTGCAACAGATTGAGACTTTTATAGATTTCCACAACTGGTCACACACAGAGAATAAGTGTCTGTGAGATAACCAACCCTAAATGACACATCTACAACAGAACCTCTACACCTAAGGTTCATAAAACATAATGGACCAAGGGGTAGAGAGAACAATGCATCTCTCAACTCTCATCAGCAAAGCTTCCTCATGTAACAGAAGGCAATGGACCAAAAGGCCACAACTGTCCACAGTGTAGAGAAAAAGAGATTGCAGAGTGTGGGTCCCTGGACAGGACTCCTATATATATAAAAAAAAAATTTCATAGCAACATCTATACTGCTTTGTGTGTGTGTAATCACATGTATGTATGTGTAGGAACACGTGGCAGGTGTGCAGGCATGAGTGTGCAGGTACACGTGGAGGCCAGAGGCTGATGTCAGGTGTCTTTATCAATCATTTTCTTCTTTACTTATTGAGAAAGGGTCTCTTCCTGAACCTAGACTTGACCATCTGTCTAATCTAGCTAACCAGCAAGTCTGGAGATACCATGTCTGTCAGCATCAGAGCTTTGAGATTATAGGC